CCAATAAAGTCTCAACGAACGAAGAGCATTGATAGTATGAAATTAGTCCTCGAACGCGTGGGTCACTTGACCAGTGTTACATTTGTACATCATCCAAGTTCGTCAAGCTCCTGGATGGAGATAAGTAAATGGCTCACCGAAAAAGGACGACCATTTTCGATCAGTGACGATGGTCGACTAATACAGATACCGCCAGATAAGGACACCTGTGAGCTATTAGAAATCAAAACTGGCCACAAGCGTATGAAGTTGTCTCATTATCAAGATAATTCCTAATCTATTCTATTATAATCGTTTTTGCTTCGCCTATTTAGTGAATTTTTTCGATTTTTATTCAGTTTGGAGCAATCAATTAATAAATAAGAGTTTGTGCATATATGTTTATCGTCAGTACTCGGTTTCATCTCGGAAAACTGTCATTTAGAGATATTTTTCCATAGCATACGTGAGTTGAAGATTCAACTCAGAAGAGAATCCAGTGATACACAAAACTCGCTACTTTGAGATTCGATGATATCTCGATGAGTCGATGTTTGCTCATGAGAAGATCGAAACGGCAAAATTCGACTTCAACCACACACTTACAAATGTTGAGGCTTGACGATACATCCATAAGTAAACGAGAGAGTGTGTTGTTAAATTAGTGGAACACGAAAAGAAACATTTGTGTTTCTTTTATTCTAATGGAATCGTCGTTAATCGTGCATAGTATATAATTAAAAAATGAAAAAATCTCGGATATTATTTCTTCGCGGCGAATTATCGGATCAGCTTAAACAATTTTCTGAAAGAACACTGTCATAAAAAAGTTTACAATCGAGATAATCCAATTTTTTACTAGGTTTCGGCATAGACGGATTCAAAGTTTGACTTGAGCGTATCTAAAAATACACCTTTCAAGCTCTATCGAATGATATATGTCAAGTTTAATTTGTTTTTAATGCAAAAATTCTATTCTTGAAAAATACCTCCTTTGTTAGAAAGTGCTGTGGCTCAGAAGAGTACATGTGAACAGGTAATTTGTTTATAAGAACTTTGGAAAATAAATGGGAACAATGTGAGAAGACACATCTTGGATAAGGTTTTTTTGTGCTCTATTTATCGACGTACTTCATTGATGGATCGTAAGTGTGCAAGTAATACTATTTGTGCAGACTATTTACTCTAGAAGTTATTTTATATTTTTGTATTTTTGACACTCAAATCTTCTCGTTTGGTCCACTGGCCGATCCTTTGTACTTTTAATACATTGATGTGTAACCCTTGCAAAATCGATATCTTAACATTGTTAGCAGAATTTTCTGGACTTCATCGCATTTTTCTGGTGAAGATTTACCGATATTTTGTCGTACGATGACAAACCACCAATGCAATAACACTGTTTCTTTCTTTTAAAAGTGCGAGAAAAAATCAACGTTACAAAAAGAAACTCTAATCCATCATAACTCGTTTGATTGAATTCTGTTGTAAGCAAGAACAGTTTGAAACATCCTGAAATAGATATCGCCGAGCTCCTTTACATATCGTACACTTTTTCGTTTTTAATGAAAAGAAATACATTGAATGAAAGTTTCAGATTTCAACAAGACTCGCATGAGACTCATTTCGAGTCTTCCATTTTTAAGATCTTTATCTCGTTAGAATTGTCGGAATATTACCAAAAAGAGTGCACGCTATGGTCCTCAAAAAAAGGAAAAAGCACTATAGATATGATAGAAGATCTAGTGCAATGCGAGTAAACTGCCTTACTCATCAATCGAGTTCGACTTCCCAACGCATTTCGAGGGATGCCTGATATCTTGCAACAATAGATATCAACAAAACACGGGATATTAGTAAATCACGTGGGATTTTAGTGAATACATGAGATATTAGCATATAAGTTTAGATACTGGACATTCACGAGATTTTAGTAAAATATCCCAGAAATATCCAAGCCAAGTAGTGAAATGTTTTTCGCGAACTGACTCTCATGCTGCACACTTCCCAACGCCCTCCCGCACCCTTAATTTAACCGCTAATATCTCGTGTATTCCACTAACATCCCGTGTATTTTGCTAAAATCTCGTGAATGCCCAATATCTAAATTTATATGCTAATATCTCATGTATGCACTCAAATCTCGTGTGTTTTGTTGATATCTATTTTTACGAGATATTAGGCAGTACTAATATTAGCAGATAAATTAAGGATGCGGGAGCGCGGGGGAGGTGTGCAGCATGGAGGTGAGTTCGCAAAAAACATTTCAGTACTAGGCTTAGATTTTTGTGGGATATTTTACTAAAACTCCGTGAATTTCCAGTATCTAAACTTACATGCTAATATCTCATGTATTCAGTAAAATCTCACATATTTTACTAATATCTCGTTTTTTCTTACTAATATCTCGTGTATTTCACTAATATCCCGTGTATTTTACTAAAATCTCGTGAATGTCCAATATCTAAATTTATATGTTAAAGGTCTCATGTATTCACTAAAATCTCACGTGTTTTACTAATATCTCGTGTGTTTTGTTGATATCTATTTTTGCGAGATATCAGGTAGTACTGTCATTTTCTCCGAATTCCTAGTGGAGGCGTATTCCGAATCTTATGCATATTAAAGAAGATGATGGAGATTTCATTCAACTTAAGTACACAACGTTAGTAATTTATTGCCGAATCAAATCAAAGCTTCTTGAAATGTTGTTTACGTTCTCAAATAATTCTTTTTTAAACCTTCATGTATTTTAGCTAAACTCCTGTATTTTTTCACTAAAATTTTGTAGGTTTTCCACTAGAACCATTCGGTTTTCGGGTAAATTAAAAAAAAATAGAACCCGTACCCGTAACTGCTCTACCCGTACTCGACCGGTACCCGACAACTTCGTACCCGTACCCAACCTTCGGGTCGGGTCGGGTACGGATCGGGTACGGCTCGGGTTGCACATCTCTAATTCAATAGCTACTGATTGTTTATTGCCCGAATGGCTAAAATCTGAATGAAAAAAAATTTTGAGCTCATATTCTTATTTTGAACTGGTAATAACAATAAAACCTTATCCTCGAAATCTGAGCGCGTAGAGAGGTAAAATAAGTTTGCGTTTTACGGTTCTCTACGCTGCTGCGGAAAGAACACTCGCATTGGCTGATTTTATCTGTATATCTGACTGCAGCCATTGTGGTATTCCATTATACTCACTGACTTGTAACTAAGTACAGTTTTGTTAAAGAAATGAAGGTCAAAATAAAAGGAAAATAGTTTAAGTTACTCAACTTTTGGTATAAGAAATTTTCTTTGACTTGTAGTGATCGTTGCAATCTAGCTAGCTATTAAACCGATGAGTTATCACATACACTCCACGGACTATTAGACAAACTAGTCGAGAACGCCGAAAACTACATATCAGTTAGATATCCTATTAATCGATCGAAAATCATGTGATCAGTTAGATATTTTATATCTTTTATTGAAATAACTTCGTTGTTTAATGTTTGTTACGTCCGATTGTAGACGGTTAGCTAAAACAAATAAAAGTTTTCAATAACCCAGTAGGATTACTTTGAAAAACATTAGTTCGGGCTCATCTTTTTCAGCTAGTATAAGCCTATCTTCCCACGGTTAAACTTTGGGCTTCCAAACGAGAAAATTCGACGCATTTATATTTTTTTTAAAGCATTCTGTAATAGAAGTTTGTTAACATGAAAAATTTTCAACGCGTTAGCTCTGTGTTAAGACACCGCAGCTTCTAACCGTAGAGGATCTATGTTGACAAACTTCTATTACAGAATGCTTTAAAAAAAATATAAATGCATCGAATTTTCTCGTTTAGAAGCCTAAAGCTTAACAGTGGGAAGCAAAATTTAAAGTGTAGCGTGTGAATGTTGCGTGTGAGATGGTATTAAGGGCAAGTTCTTAATTAAATACGGATTGTGTTCGCCATGAGATAGTGCTTTTGATGGTTAAACGAGCAAGGTCGCAAAGCTGAATCGCTCATCGTTCATTTGTTCGATTTGTTGCATGATTTCATTCAACAGTTGAGCTACTACTGCTATTTCGTCCTCAGATTCCATCGTGAACGTATCTGATGTTAAGGAAAACGTATCGTCACGTAACGATCGCAATAGTAGACATTTATTATAGACATTTATTTTTTAAATTGTCTAAATAAATATTTCGCTCAGCGTCTCGAAAAATTGATTTTGTTTTAGACAACAGAAACCCCGTCCTCAAAGGGTTAACATAATTTACTTTTGACTCCTATACTCTCTTTTAATATATATTTAAATTTTCATTTTCGTCAAGGTAGAAGAACGAGAAAAACATTAATTTTCTAAAAACCTACGTAAATTTTGTTTTTGGGAGTGAAACAGAAGGCAAAAAGCAAATAAACAGGATTTGGAAAGCACACTTGTCAACCTGTCATTTTTTCACACTGGAACATAAAAACATTTCATCAAATATATAAAGTAAAGAGAATACGCTCCAACAAAGAACAAAAATGCTTTCGAAAGTCCTACTAGTATCTGCACTTTTATGTGCACTGGTCTCCACTGCTAATGGTAGGCTTATGTCTTTACATTGGAATTCTTCTTACACCTTCAAATCTAAAACAAAGTTTATACTTTTTTGTTTGCAGCTCACATGGCAGCTTGGTCCAAAGGCATGTACTGTATGAAGGTACGTAAAAAAAAAAGTCATTGAAACACCGTATTTTACGGTTAGTGCTTTTTATCCTGCTAGTAGTGTGACGCCTAGTATTGTTTTCTCAAGTTTATGTTCCTTTTAGGGACGTGGAGGTCAAGACAACATAAACAACAACTTACCTGTAAACCCTTTGGTTGACCTGACTCAGAAGGACTGGTGGTTCCAACATTATCAAGGCTGTGACAAAGAACCGCCAGCCGACGGTGACTACCTTGAACTACCAGCAGGAGGCTCGTTCACTGTTGAAATTGCTACTAATCGTGCTTTCACAACTTTTGGTCACAATAAAAATTTCAACGGATATTTTGGTGGTCCACAAGAACTCGAATATACCCCTTGGGGCTGTGTTTCCTACCCTAATTTGCACACACCAAATCAAACTTTAGCACCGGGAACAGTTTTTGCTATCTCCTATCAAAATAGCATCGATAAAGTTACACCGGAAAACTTGGTTGTCTTCACTGTAAGATACAAAACTCCCTGGCAAAGAGTAACGTCGTACGATGTGCCAAAAGATTTACCTTCCTGTCCTCCAGGCGGTTGTACATGTGCATGGGGGTGAGTAAATTTTTTCACGCTTGATAGTTCTTCGAAATTCTTTTTCTCTGACGTTAGATGGGTCCCTATGGGCTGCGGACAACCGAACATGTATATGCAAGGTCATAAATGTATGGTCACCGGCTCAACTTCCAC